CAAAGAAAATCGTAGATAGAATCTGATTGAAATCACTTTGGTACAGAGTAATTCCATAGTCCATTATCTTATAGTTAAAAGTCAAAGCTATTGCCGTTAATCAATCCCTGAGTGACCTTGGTAATGCAGTAATACTTGTGGTCACAACAAAAACGACCAGTGGGATCGACGAAGGTCGATGAGGTCAACAAACTCATAGGCTTACGTGGTTCTTTTCCGTTATATGGCATGGAATAAAGAATGAGAGCTTCTCGCTGGATAGAAACTTCTCATAATAGTGTTGGTAATCATTTGAAAGATCAAGTTTTGAAGAAGTGGGCCTGACGTATTCATTTCTTGAAAAGACCTTTTGACAGCGCTGTAGCGTTCAAAATAAAATTATGTTCTACACACGTTGCATGCTTTTATTATTACCGTGAGTATGCTTCGTTGAAAGCACGAAAAGCATATGACTGTGTAGAGAAAATCTTGTAGTATCAGGGTCATACGTTCTACCTAGAGCTTTTCTCGGAGCGGAGAAGAATTCTGAACTGAATAACAAAAATCGCACTCCATATGTGAATCGCACCTGCAAGGTATATCGATAGTGCGTTACCAAACCAATAACCACACCATACCGACAAGCAATGCGCGTCGTAAGTGATAATCAACCTTATTTTCCATGCTACACCGCAGTAAAACGTCATGTTCGGGGAATAAGTATAGCGATGGATTGTTCGAAACTTATGCTATCAAATAGTTACTTATAACTGAAGGGAAGAGCTCTGTCCTGTGAGTAGTACGCGTGTGTGGAACAAAAATCATTTCCTTTCACTAGAGCGCTGTCAAAAAGCCTTTCTAAGAAGGCATTAGAATTTTGAATTATCCGAGATTTGAGTTATCAAAAGATCACTGGCACTTCAAGAAAGAAGTTTTATACAGCGAAATATAAGTGTGATGACAACAATAAGCGCGCACCGCCTGTGAAACAATTTTATTCGAATGTTATAGCACCATAAAAAGGGCTTTTAAAACATAAGCACCCACAGCAATCCCTCGAAATTAAAGCTTTTGCATGATTAGCAACAATTCTTATGGGAATCCTGTCCAGCCAAAAGGTCCGTTCTTCATTCCGTATCCTTTAAAAACCGTTTATGTCTCTCAGAATGACCATTATTGTAATGCGACGTGTGAGACGATACTGGAGTAGTCTGTTCTCCTAGCTGACACTCTACTGCGAAGGAACACGCACTTCACTGAAACAAGTCGAACGATCAGGATGGGTATGCCAAGGAAGCTCAAGCATGGGAGACTGTGCAATGGTGGAGAGCTATGCAGAACCAGAAGGGCGTCATGGTACCTCGATAGAAGGATAGAAGTAAAGTTCTATTTGTTTCGACAGAGTTTGGCTCCGCCAGAAATCCACAGATGGGATTATTCGAGGCTCCTGAAAGACAAGGGAGTCGTCCATGGCACCGTCACTTCAAAATGTGTATTCCATGCAGTACATACGTTCATCTTCCATTTTCTTCTTTCCGTCACTGCCTTCAATTGCTGAGTAAATATTTCAAGTAGTGCATAATTCTCAGTACATTCCTTTAAGACAGGCAATAAAGATTACAATAAAGGTCAGAGTGCGCTCTTATCAGGATGTTTTCGTATTGAAAAGTGGAGATTTTTGGAATACGTGGGCACTTTTATGGTAAAGATACTTTTCACGTATGAATAATCCATCTTTTTGTAACGATAAAGTTTCACTGAAATCAAAATTTCAGTATCAGTATCAATAAATCCGCGGTGAATTTCAAATGGCAGGCTATTTGATCCAAAGGCAAAACGTAATCCACTTTTCATCTATTGAACAGCGCACTAAGACTCTTTCAGAGACCGAGCTCAGTACTAATATCCAGTTCTCAGTCAAGCTACTGACTACTCTCTTGTGAAAAAGGTCTAATTAGCAAATAAAAAGTATGGAAACACGAGTACATTTTACAAAGAATACTTTCACAACAAACAAACCAGTGATATCCTATCATCTCTCAGCTATAGAGTGATCTCTAAATGAGAATTTTATCCTATAAGTACCAGTATATGCGTGGTGAACTTCAAACAAGCAATGGCTAACTACTGCGAATGCAAAAGATAATATACCCATAAAGTGGAGTGCTGTACAAAAAGATTTGCGTCAGCCGGGATTCGAACCCACATCTCACTCTTGCCGGGAGCGCATGCTAACCGTTGCACCACCGACGCTCGTTTTGCACACACTCTTTTAACGCTATAACGCGTTGTCTGCCAACAGCCAACCGTCAACGATCTGGCGGGCAGCCGCTATCGGCATTGAACCCACTTGTGTTGACAGACATTGGGTATAGAAAATCGGTCAGAATTCTTTTTATTGACCGCCACTGGCGGTGGTATGATGCTACAATATAGCCAATGATGTGGAGTGCTGTGCAAAAACATTTGCGTCAGCCGCGACTCGAACCCAGATCTCACTCTTTCCGGGAGCGTATGCTAACCGTTGCACCACCGCAAGTGGTTGTCAAATAAAAGAATTCGGGCAAAGCATAATTTTTTTTTGTTTTACTAAAAACGTATCATGACGATCTTTCTAGAGAACAATATTAGCGTCAAAGATAATCTAATAATCTGATAACATGTTCCGAGCCTTTTCTTACTGAGGTCCGGTACGACACTTATGCAGTACTGGATAGATGTTTCGCCATCCAAGGCTCGTCAGTAGTGCGGTGCTTTTCGGTTCAGCCGATCCTTTGCTTATGAATATACCTCTACTTATAAATGTGAAAAAATGTTCCTATACCAATTGGTGGCGCTTTTTTTCCAACGATATGATTTTCTCGGTGAAAGACGAGAATTCATAGGACACGCGGGCGTTTTTTTCATCTCAAAAGTACACTTAAAGAGTCTTTTCAGTGCTATTTCATCACTGAGTAGCGACATGTCCTTTAGCACAATTACCAAATGGATTCCATTACTTCCATTGCAGCACGTCTCACAAAAAGTGGCTGCGAGACGCGACGCCGCCATTGAAGTGGGTGAGCGAGATACGACGTCGCGCGGCGTTACCTATATTGGGTCACGCTGTACCCAGAGGGTAAACCCGGTCGGGACGGCAGATGATCGATTACCTAATTACAGTTTTTTCCCTATGTTTTGGAAAAAAGGATGTTTGGTGTTATTGTGATAGTTTACGATTTTTCTTCACACCACTTATATGCTTAGGCCCATATACATAATTATATACATATATATATATATATATATATATATGCTGTGTATATATACGCATGTACATTATGCTATATGTGCATATATATATATATGTATATATATACATATGTATAAATATAATATGGGCATATAACTCTGCCCTACAAAGTCATGTATGAAAGGTGATATTCGTTTCGCTCTTTCGGCGCTGCATGAAGACCTTTCCAAAATCTAAACGTTTACTTTCAGAATCACCACAATTCATGCTATCATAGTAGTTACGAAACTTTCATAAAACTATGCACAGATGCCCTCCGAGCAAAAGATCTGCTCCGAGTGTAAAACGTAATCTTATATTCGTTTTCTGCACCGAAGTGAAACGGCCTTTCAGAAAACCAGAAAAATCTGTAATCGTCAAGATTCAAGCTTTTGAATAATTACGAAAAATCTAGGAGTATCGCTCTGTTCATCGAGAAAAGGTCTTCAAATAAATCGTGTACTCGGCGAAGTACACGCCGTCCCGAACCGGTTGAATAAGGACTACAATGCATAATACTTGAACAGCACTTAGAAGGAAATCTTGAATGCTGCCGGCCTCACAACAAAAACGCCAATATATAGAGAATGTTCTTCGGTTTTTTTTCTCGACAATTCTTATTTATGTAACTTACATGTCCTATGCTTTTGTAGCTATGAATCTCAGGTGTACGTCCTAAGATTTTTGCGAGAATCAGTATAGACTTGAACTTAACCAAAACAAGTCAATCATGACCATATATCGAAAAAAATCACTTTGACTATGCGATACCCTCTTACATTTTACCATCAAATACATCTCTGTGATGTGCAAAACTTCTGCGTCAAGCAGGACTTGAACTCGCATTTCACTCTATCCGCGAGCGTGTGCTCTATTCTTTGCGCCACCAACGCCTATTTTGCCACCACTCTTTCTACGCTACAACGTATCCAAACATATTCATGACATCATATCACCTCTAGAAGCGGTTAAATAGAAAGAATTCTGTGTATGGTCTTCAATTTTGTCTTGTTTATGGATGTCGTAAGATGCTTGTCAAAGCCGAGCTAAGACTTCCATATAATTACGGAATTGCGTCGGAAAGGGCCGAACCAGCGCCTTGCTTCTAATAGCCTGCATTAGCATTAATGCACTCCGCTATGATCACGAGCTAAGCTCAACAGGTGTAATATCCTGTAGCATCGCATATTCTTCAACTTCTAGCGGTCTGGATAGGCTATAAAACTAAAAAGAATGCTATTGCTATTATGCGAAGTACCTTTTGTTTGAAGTAATAACCATGTTCAAAAACGCTTCCTCGGAGATGAATAATCTAGCTCTTGAATTGATCCACAGTAAGGTATACTAAGAGCGCATGTGGCGCAGTGGGTTAGAGGTGCTCTGCGTCGCACACGAGGTCAGTGGTCCGATCTCGCGCTCATGGCTCAACAAGCCATCCATCCCTCCGGGGTCTGTAAATTGGTACCCGGTCTGGTCTCAGACTTGTCCGGGAGGATAAGCAGCACTGACTCGGTTCAGCGGGAGGCCATCGCGAGTCATTGTAAAGGCACGATATGCATTCAATCGCCTCAAACGAAATTAAAAAATTGAAGACGAATGCATGGCGCATCCCTCAGGGAATCAACGCCAAGAGCTCTATCCTTTTATCCTTTTAAGGTATAACTGTCTTTGATCTCAAGAACACAACATCATCCATGAACATGTGAACATAAAAACTTCATCAAAAACACCCTTTGATGTGCACAACTTTCGCGTCAGGCGGGACTCGAACCCGCATCTCACTCGATCCCGGGGCACGTGCTTCCAACTCGTTGCACCACTGACGTCCGCTTTGCCATCACTCTTTCTACGCCACAGCGTGTCCATCTGTCAGCGAGCAAGTGTCAACGGCCTGACCCAGGTAGTCACTATCGACACTGAACCCCGTCACGCTGACAAATACTGGGTATTAGAAGATCAAATCGAATTCTCAAGAAGGTTTTGTACATGACCCCACATCACTGGGTATATCTGGGACATCACACCACTGCTAAAAGCGGTCAAGTAAAAAAGAATTCTATCTGATAATCACATCTCTCACAATTCTTGTTTTTTATTTGACCGCTACTTGTGGTGGTATTGATGTTACAATATACCCAATAGTGTGGAGTGCTGTGGCCAAAACATTTGTCGTCAGCCGGGATTCGAACCCAGATCTCACTCTTTCCGCTCTTTCAACACAAGTGGGTTCAATGCCGATAGAGGCTACCCCGCCACACGCAGACGGTCGGCTGTTGACATAACGCGTTGTAGCGTAAAAAGCGTGCTTTGCAAAACGAGCGTCGGTGGTGCAAACGGTTAGCTTACGCTCCCGGAAAGCAGTGTGATCTGGGTTCGAATCCCGGCTGACGCAAGTTTTTTTGCACAGCATCCACATTATTGGGATATTGTAAAATCAACATCTCTATTTATTGTTGAAGATAGCACTTGAATGATAAAGAAATATAAGCAAACTCCTCAGACAAACGCAACAAATGGTGATAATAGGAATGGACTCGACATCAGAGTTCCAGTAAGCCCAAACAAGACGCGCATTGACACCAATGCGTACGGTTGCCGACTTGAAAAAAAAAAACTAGCCGCTCAGTCGTGAAGGTCGGATAAAGAAAAAACATGCTGCGAATCCGCTTTTTAGATGGCCTGGCGTCGTAAGTGCACATATGCGTTTAACCTGACGTACAACGTGGATCAGCAAAGAAGCCGGAGAGTAGTATGCTCGACGCAGGCGTATTTACTAGGTGCATGGACTTATTCCTGTTGAATAATTTCACTTATGAGCGCGCGCGTGTGGCGCAGTGGTTAGGGGTGCACACGGCAGTCACGGGAGTCGATGGCTCGATCTTGCGCGGGAGCTCTTTCCTTCTTTATACTCTGTAATTTTTTTGTGGGTATATTTTATAATCTCATAATATCACGTTATGAAATCGTGATGTAACTAATCCAGCACTCGGATTATTCGCCACGGCAGAATGATGTGTCTTAAAACTCGCCTTATTTGTTCATATCGGCTTTAAAACAAAATTTCAGTGCCAAAAGACAATTTTTTTGAAAATTCGTTCTTCAAATAGTAGATCCCGATTAGGGAGGAATTCAGTTTATTTACAAAGAATTTTCATTTTACCGCCTCATCAGCAGCCGTTATGACGTCATAAGTTCATAAAATATTGAGTGATTCCCTTATCCAGAGCTTCCAAATTCACTGCGGGACTTGAACCCCCTCGCCGCCTCCCCGCACAATCTCCTGCGACCTTTCCGCTCGCGTCAGTACCGCGCTCCGCCCGTTAAGAAATGTGACGGCCACGTGTGCCACTCATACCCTGTCGCCGCTCTCTTGTGCCTCCCCCCCCTCCTCTCCACGGCCCCCCTGAAGACGAACCAACTGCACTACTAGCGCTATCGCTCGCCAAGCGCTGGCTTCTCTGCTCTTACATGATGTCTGGAATTGTTCACGGAGTAATTCTTGAGACCTTATTGCGTACTTGGGGAGACTCAGAATTGACAAGCTTGGCCAGGAAATCCGCGAGTAAATTGGGGCACGGTGCCGATGGCGATAACAGGCAATTGAGCCAGTTTATCTGAGCGTATGAACGCGTGGTCTGTTCCTCAAAACGTCCAAGCCCAAGCGCTGTACAGTGAACCCGCGCTTCACTGATGTCGGAGACGCGCGCTACCACTATCACCATCAAAGCGCCGCGCGTTCTTCCGCCACTCTCTAAACTAGGAGCCCATGCTATATCCTCAAAATTCGATTAGGT